AAGCAGTGGTATCAACGCAGAGTACTCCTTTCTCCTAGTCGTACCCTCCAGTAGTCCTATTGTCAGTTTCATGTAGTATAGTTGATAGCGACCAGGTAAAAGCAAGGGAATGAAAACGTGCTTATGTTTATGAGCGCACTTGGGGTGCGCCAACTTATTTCCAGAACGGCATAACAGAAAAATTGCCTACCCTACTTAGGCTTTCCTCTGCAAAAAAAATAACTACGAACTGAGGGCCGCAAATGAATATCCACATAGAAGCAGACCTCAATAACAAAGGAGATAGAGCTTATTAGCATGGAGAGCAATGCAAGCTCTTCAGCACTTATTGATTCCTCTACGCATGAACGAAAATAGTAGCGATTGTTGGACGATGCGATATAGTTATCCTACGTTGAGAGGACCTTTGAAGCAAATCAAGCTATCTATTACTGCAGCAATGCTGTGCAATTCGTAAAAAATGGATGCTTACCCCATTTTTGCTGAGCTTTCTGAGCTCCTTTCGCAACCATGTTACCATCGATATCAATTCACATTAGTCTTTTCCGTGCCGCACAGGCCTAGTGCGCACGCTTTCCAACGCTCATGCACGACGTTGCGGGCGTCCACTCCTGGCGCTTTGACAGCCATCGTGTAAAAGCCGAAACCACTTTGTTTTTTTAGTGACAATCGAAACGATACATCTTACCTTCAACCAAGCGAAGTCAGCTGATGACGCCCAGAAACGAAAAAGAGCAAGAAAAAACATTCAGAATAAGTCGCAGCAAAACAATAGGCAATAGAATATTCACTCGTACTCAGATAATCGCCCGGGGCAGGCGGCCATGCGATTTATGGGCGGGCGGGTACCGAAAAAGTAGTTCGCTGATTTCTTGCGGTCCGCTTGCAAATTAGAGGAATTTTAGCGAAATTTTAGACGAATGCTTGGAGAACAATCGCGGTTTCCTTAGACCTAAGGCATACCTTCGCGCGATTCGGCCGAATCGCCACTTTCACGCGACTTGGCGATTTGCCAGATTTTTGTAGATTTATCATGCGTACTTCTCGGACTCATTTTTGGATAACTTGTGTAAGTTGTTGCACAGAGCAGATCTGACCAAAGGCAGCGCATAACGACGAATTATGAAGAGTCGCTATTGTGTCAAATCGCGCAGCGACCGGAATCGCGCGAGGTATGCCTTAGGCCTTATAGATTAGCTGCGGCGCAGTGGCCGCATTCTCGCGGACTTTCCGCGAGAATTTGCAAAGGACCGCGCAGGCCCCCAGGTACTTTCCGCTGTAAAAGTACCTCAAACTTGAGTAATTAAACCAACGGTGACACCTCTACCACACAGAGTCTTAACTGTGCTCGACGTATGCCCGAAACTACGTAAAAAGTGTCCGAGCGCCTGCTAAAGTTCGGCCAGCGTTTGCTGAAAAGAGATGATTTGACAGGCCCTCCAGAAAATTCTGCGTTGCTGCCCGCTGGCAGAACATTAGACAGTAAAGGAAATACCGCTCGCTGAAGGTTTGGCCACGCCCCAAAATCTTGCATAAAAGCGAGAGTTTGCGGACCGCCTGCCCCGGCGATCTGAGTAGGTGTTATTGAAAAACGGTATATACCTCTGCCTGATTAGGGGCCGGGCCCATCACTTTTTCCAGCGGAAATATTGAAAGGGAGAAGCGAAAATAGTGAAGAAATGGCAACAAAAATGATCTGGCTGGCCGCAAAATCACCTGATGATGGCTGGCAAAGCGCCAGGAGTGGACGCCCGCAACGTCGTGCATGAGCGTTGGAAAGCGTGCGCACTAGGCCTGTGCGGCACGGAAAAGACTAATGTGAATTGATATCGATGGTAACATGGTTGCGAAAGGAGCTCAGAAAGCTCAGCAAAATGGGTAAGCATCCATTTTTTACGAATTGCACAGCATTGCTGCAGTAATAGATAGCTTGATTTGCTTCAAAGGTCCTCTCAACGTAGGATAACTATATCGCATCGTCCAACAATCGCTACTATTTTCGTTCATGCGTAGAGCAATCAGTAAGTGCTGAAGAGCTTGCATTGCTCTCCATGCTAATAAGCTCTATCTCCTTTGTTATTGAGGTCTGCTTCTATGTGGATATTCATTTGCGGCCCTCAGTTCGTAGTTATTTTTTTGCAGAGGAAAGCCTAAGTAGGGTAGGCAATTTTTCTGTTATGCCGTTCTGGAAATAAGTTGGCGCACCCCAAGTGCGCTCATAAACATAAGCACGCTTTCATTCCCTTGCTTTTACCTGGTCGCTATCAACTATACTACATGAAACTGACAATAGGACTACTGGAGGGTACGAGTAGGAGAAAGGAGGTGGTGACCTAAGTGATAAGAGAGCTCGCTGCTTGGCATAGTGTCAGTGTCGTGCTTTGCCAAACCAGGTTGTCGGTGGATTTTTTATTGTCAGACTGATGTTTCGGCGTGTTGGCTCGCCTTCTTCAGAGGTTTGAACGAAGGTCATAGGTTTTTTGACCTGATCAGTATATCGCCAAGTGCTCCGTCCCATCCTGTTTATCTAGACCTGTCTGAGGCTAGCGCCGCGAAACTCTGAGACTGTGAAACGAATCGACTCCACCGCATGTTAGTAAGTCCGCACAACTGCAAACCCGGTTTGGCAAAGCACGACACTGATACTATAGGACACCTTCCCAGCTCATTCAAACAGCGGCTATATTAGCCGTCTCTAACGAACGCACGTCTCTGCTGAATGCAGAGATCATTTATCATCGTGAACCAATCTGCTGCACAAGGTGTTGTACCTTCTTAAAAAAGTTCTCGTCTCAAACGCTTCTCCAACTGTCAACCTACTTCCTTTCTTGCAGGTTCCTTTCTTATAACTCCAGCTGTTGTCCAAAACAGGGCAGTGAAATTATATGCCTTCTTTGGAACCGATCCTCACGCAGCTCTGTGATACACCGATTGGGCCCGGAATTGCAGTTTGGTAACACCAAGGTAAAAAAATTTGCCACGAGAAGTCTAAAGAGTTCTCAAGTTCTGAATTATTGGATACTCGTGTTTTAGTCCTAAGCTTCTTGAAATGACGTATATCGATCTCCGCATCTCTTTGATCGAGATCATGTACAGCATGATCCAGCTCGGCATAATTCAAAAAACATCCGGATATGAGAAATGGATGAGCAAAGCAAGACAACAAGTGGCAACTGTGGCCTCAGAATAATCTTTGAATGCATTTTTGATCTAATTTATATGGGTTTTTATAGGACCGAGGAAATGTACATTGCTATGGTGGTATGGAAAGTTCCCGGGCACTTGCGAAGATTTTTTTCGAATCGCTGTAACTTTAGGCAGATTGATTCTTTTCTGAGGCTACAAACTTCGTTGCAAAGATGATATTGTCCACAACATACATTTGTCTTGCTGGCTTCTCGGCACCTCGCTGCGGTCCACCAGCATGCGCAGAAGGGAAAAAGCTCGTCGCGAAAAGTGGTCTATTTGTGCGGGATTATCTCAGACAGGATGAGAGCTAGAAAGCCCAGATGCTGTAATTGTATAGAGGCCTGTTGTTGCTGTTATGGGGACCATTCATGTTTTTGAAGGACCAGCTGCAAAAAAATATTTCTCAGAAAATTTGAAACGACCATTTTTTGCCCCCGGAAATGCACCACTTTTCGAGTAAATGACCTCTTCTATTTCTGCACACATCATCCAGCCGTGGCGATCCCCGCAGATGCGACGCCAGCTGCGAAAAGAGTTGCAGTCAGAGGCAAGTCCGACAGCTTGTAATTTCTAGGCGCAAATCGCAAAACTCGAGTGCAGTTTCAGGTCAGAAGTTAACAGGCTTCCCAATCAGATCACCTATGATTTGGACGAAAATTCTTTGAAATGCACAAAAAAATGGCCGTAAAAAGAAAAATTGTGAAATTTTTGTGGTTGAAACGATTTCCCTTCTTGAAGTGCAGATCAAACACGTCTTGGCATCGATAAAAGTCAGAAGGTGCATTGAAAACTTCAGGCTTCCCTTTACTGAATAGTATAAAGGACTTGGTGTCCAAGTCCGACCGAGCGCCGGAAAAATGCGTTTGAAAATGAAATTTCCAAAAGTGCCCGGGAACTTTCTTTACAGCCCAATACTTTGTATGTCTTTTCGTTTCGTTTCAATAATAATAATTTTCATTTCATAATAATGCACTTGTAAAAATTCTCAAACATGTTGATGAATAGCATCAATATGTACACATACCGTATACAAATGTGCAGCAACTTTTTTTCTCGTAGAATTCTATCTTTGCCTTAGAGGAGGCTGTCGTCGTTAAGCGAAAAAGAAAGATTTTTAACCTCAGTCAAAATTTCCATATATAGGATGTAGAGCAAAGAATATTATAATGTAAAAAACAGAAAATATTCCTCTGTTTTCTTTAAGTCACACTCGTGACCGTGCTCGAGGCTACCTCGCTTAAAAAAAGTCCGCCACCCCTTCAACTCGCATACTTATTCGTAACTGTTCATGTACCCTAGCTCCCCATTGCACCCATAAAATTTTGGTGCCATTTGCCTGTTTATTGTAAGCAAGCCTCTTGTTTACGTTGAGGCAAAAATTTGACCCTCGCTTGCGTGAAAAAAGCACAAGTTTGTTTCATGGATGGGCGCGAAGTATTAGGCTAACTTTACTCTCTTTGGATGTGGCGCTTTCAAAGTTTGGCAATGTATAGAGCGCAATGTGTGCTATAACTGCGCACAAATGTTTGGAATTTGAATACGAATTGAAAAGTTCCAGACATCTTTCAAAAATTAGTGATTTTCGAGAATTTTCGGGATCAAAAGCCGAAATGAAGCCGTTAGCAGCCTATACTATGCGCGATAATCTGGTTTCGTGTAAGAATCATTGTTAGAGGTTGTCTTGTTCAGATCAGCAAGAAAGAAATAAATTTTAATAATATGTCGAAAATTGGCGGAATCGTTGAGAGAGTCCGCTATACGCAAGGGTGCTGGGGACAGCCGTCAATGACCAAGGCGTCAGAAGCTCAAAATTCGCCGAGACTACATGTAGTGAGGTTATTTGACCTACCAAACACGACTATCATATTCATTTGTTGAATTAAAGCCCCTTCCCTTGCTTAAGATAAGACCCTACATCGTAAACCTACAGTAATCTAACAAAAAACGCCATATCACGCAACTTCAATATCGTTTTCGTCAGCATGTACGATAACCTCACTATGCCAAGTTTCAGCAAAATCTGTCAATTTTTAGAATTTTCTCCCTTGTACCATAAACCTAAACTAACTCTCACTGGGACGTCAGATTTTGGCAGAACAGCAGCTGCTCTTGTAGGTTACGTCATAGCCTATACAATGACATAATTTGAGGTGCGTCATGTTGAGATTGAAGAGAGTTATCGAATGAGTTGCAAAACTTAGTTTCCAATCTAATATTAAGGTCCTTCAAAAAATATTCTACACGGCCATTTCATGCCCTATTTTTGTTAGTAAATCAGAGTCCCTGCAAAAAATACACATCCTCTTCGCTTTTTGTTCAAAACGATATCCAGCCTGTTGTTTTGCAATTGTGCCAAGCACTGATTCTGGAAGGGTGCGAAATGATCATTATTTGGCGCAGGTAAAGCAAAAGGCAAATCGGCAACTTTTCTTCGCCGTACCGAACGTTAGTATTCCTTAGCAAAAAATGCGTTTTCGATTGTAGATACGTTTCGGATAGACGACTTTGCCGTAAATGGTCTTCGCATGCGCGGACATCTGTCACAAACCATGCATCAGTTACTGTCCCTGCCAGGAGGTCTTGGACGCAGTGAGTTTTGCCGACAATGCCTTTGAATTCAGAAAGGATCGTTATCGATGGCATCAACACATTAACCGCAACGATTTTTTCGTGTGGGCATAGGATTAACGGAATACGAATGAGTAGAGCCCACATTCTTCACATGATTCTCTCTGCAGGAACAAACACCATATGCGAAAATTTATTGCCTTCTTCTGTTCATGGTTTTGTTTGAATCAAACGTGAACAATAAGAACAGCAAGTAATCTATCAATATAGGTCGTCTTAGGGGGCGGGGGCGGGGGTGGTGGTGGTGGTGGTGGTGGTGGTGGTGGTGGTGGTGGTGGGGGTGGTGGTGGTGGTGGTTGGGGTGGTGGTGGTGGTGGTGGTGGGGGTGGTGGTGGTGGTGGTGGGGGTGGTGGTGGTGGTGGGGGTGGTGGTGGTGGTGGTGGTGGTGGGGGTGGTGGTGGTGGTTGGGGTGGTGGTGGTGGTGGTGGTGGTGGGGGTGGTGGTGGTGGTGGGGGTGGTGGTGGTGGTGGGGGTGGTGGTGGTGGTGCTTGGCGGTGGTGCCTCACATAGCACTCCATCTACGCATGAATCTGGGCAAGAGCTGCAAGGCTTTCCTGGTTTGTAAATTTGCTCCTCAAATTGCACATCGCTGCAAAAATATCATTTGAATATGATATTCACTATTTTGGAGGCATTGGACTCAATTTCGACAGTTCCTACAAGGTGGTTCAATAATACGCTATAGCTGAATAACCTTGGAGCATATCGACATACAACAGCGTAGAAACTACTGCATTTGTGTACGGCACACCCAATCTTAGATGTTGTAGCCCAGGCCATCTAAAATTAGAACGTTTTGTGAATGTGTTCGCCGTTCATTGAGGTCGGCTATACCTAAAGCGATTCCGCTAACTCGCTTTTGCCACGCTAATTGCTAATCCTCCGTACGTCTTAACATGTTGACGACGAGCTGTTTTTTTTTGACGTCTGTCCCTGTGGACGAACCGTTTTCGGGCATTTTCGCAGCCGGCTGCATGTATGCATGTATGCATCTATGCGTGAGGTACAAAAATGCAAGTGGGCAGGGTAGCTCCGCCCACTTTTGGCAAACCCTGCCCACTTTTCAAAAATGCTGAAATTGCTCAAAATCAATGAATTCGTGCAAATTCCGCCATTTTTGAAAAGTGGGCGGAGCTTGCCACTTAGGGGTGGGGCTGCATAGTGGAGGGCTGGGTCAAAATTAAGATCATTTAAGGTTTCCCAGTCATCTACGAGCTTTTCTATGCAATTTGAGAACGCAATTTTTGTAAGGGCAACGGAGTGGGCGGAGTTTGCCGAAAGAGGGCGGGGCCAACATGAAAAACTTCTGAGCCTAAACTGCTTATATGAACACAAATTGGAACCATTGTGCACATTAGAACTGGTATTTAGGGTGTCGCGCACCATTGCGCGACATCGTCCACAGGGACAGACTGCCTGTCGCGCACCATTGCGCGACACTGTCGTCAACGTGTTAAAATCCCGACGCAAAGATCTCAAATACAAACGCATGGCTTTGTTAGGCTGATGCAAATATAGAAGCTGTTGCTTGTGTAAATGCGTACTAAGAATCAAAGGCTACTGCCGGACGAAATCTTAGAGGCGCGACCTTAATCCCGAACCGTAGGACATGCAGATTTACAGCGCTACGGCAATACGCTCGCGTCGCCTTCGCGCCTGCTCAACTAAAACTGTCTTTACTTTCTTCGTTCGTAACTAAGTTTTAGAACATTCTTAGCAACACAAAATTGTGTGGCAAGCGAAATCGAGCAAGTATGACCGTCGCCTCAACAGTACGAGTTCTAGATAGATGTATAGTTAGTAGAATTACAAAAAATAAGCAAAATATACCCTAACAAATTCGGCAGAAGGAGTGTGTATAGTCCTGTAATAAACTTTATTGCCAATGTTTGGTCCAGTTCTGGATTGCTTCCACCATGATGTTACACCCTAGAATGCTTTACTAGTCGTCAATGCTACCTCTGAGACCATATCTTACATTGTGGATGGCTGTCAGTTTATCAGGGGCGGATGATAAAGCGACTTGTGCAGTATTTTCGCCAACGCCGGAAGCAAGGGCAATTTTCGTTTTGAAACAACCTATTGCCCGATCAATAGCGCGTTCTTCTAAGTCGCAATCGTATGTCTGAAATCGCTTCAGCTTACATAAGCTAATTATTGTTTGAGCTGTGCCTATTTCATGATGGTTTTCAAGGTGAAGCCAAATAATCTCTAAGAAGTAAAGATATGAGGAAAAGTTCACCAGCTTTCGAATGTTAGCACCCTGTGGCATATAGTTTCCATTGCCCTTTACGACCTCTCCTTTTGCTAACATTGCCCTCAAAGAAGTAGTCAAATGACATTGTCGTTCAGTGACTAAAACAGTGCTCCATACCTTCTATAGTTGTGCATGTCTAAAAATTTGGCCACCTGATGATCCTTCATTTTATCGCTTTTGGAACATATTGTATGCGCATAGGTGATGGTAGGTAGTAGCTGAAAGTGACAATAAAACAGTGGGGATTTGAGGGGTTAAAGGCATCCATCCAGATTTTCGACTTCCAGGTTTTTGTCGTTTCAGAGCCTTCTCATGTCCCTAATTCCGAATATGAATCGAGAATCCTCGAGAACCCCGACAGTCTCCGTTCCGAAGAACCCACAAGCCGACGTTCCGGAACGGTGATTGGATGGGCGCGCACGAATGGGCGGGCCTGGATGGGGAGGGCGGGCCGTCTGGGGGTCCTCGCGCATTCTCGTTATTCCGAAGCAATTTTCGCTTTCTAAACGATGTTCTGCACCGCGACTTGGGCATTGGCTTGTAGGGGCCCTATACCATATGCTTTAAAAGCTCAAGATCCTCAACTTAGGGTGGACGGTGCCTTTGAGGTTGCATTTGTTTCGAACGATTTTAGCAAGATATGTAAACAACTCACAGAAAGTACTGCAATACAAGCAATGCACGACATTGTTTTGGACTGCTTTCTGTCACCTGCCCCCTCTTTTTGTACCAGAACCTTATTCCTAAAAACGCCAATTAGAACGCAGAGGTAAATCATTACGGTACCCTCTATAACAAAATCCTGATTAAGAAGAGTTATAGCGGAATTATGATTTCATTCAGTTAACGAAGTGAATCTGTTAGGGTACGTGAAAACCTATAGTTAAAACACAGAGAGCCTAATACCGCAAGTCCACCATATTCATTTTTCTGACATTGTATTCCATTTTTTCGAGTATTCTGTGATTTCATTCGGCTTTGTTGCTGCGTTACAGCTGCCTAATTTGAATCCAGTTTTACATATGAAATGTTCAGAGCGATCAAAATGCTTAGCGAATTTGTTCAAGTAAAATTTTGTGATAAATGGTGAGCTTTTCGTGGGAATTTAATTTTTGCGACTTTTCAAAGCTTTTCTATTCACTTTTTGATTTCGTTATTTGCCGATATTCACATGCTGTGTACCACTCTTCTCTATACAAAGTCTATTTAGGATAGATATTTGACATCGCTCCTGATGACTTCGCTTTATTCCCTCAGCTCCCTCAGACATTCCCTCAGCTTTCGTTGTTCATTAATCGTCTACATGCTCCTTTCTTTGTTTCACATTTGAATAGTAAGGAGTTTAAACAGATGTTGCTCCTGCTTGGTCACCACGGCAAGGATATTTCCTGATAACTTCCTCAATTTTGGATGATCTTCTGGCAGGTTGAATGCAACTCCCAATTTCTTGTTTGTGATGAATTTTGGAGCTACGTTCATGGCATGGTACGTTTTGGCAAAGAAAGCTCTGACATATACTACACAAGCCCAGCTTTTATGAGCAGAGAACCAATGAGGTCATCCATAATTTTTCCCACCCGTTGACAAGAGTGGGCCACCACTTGCTTAGTGCACCATCCAAAAACTTCCGCTTTATTGTTTATGAATTTTTCCTGGGCTAATATAGATGACGTGACTGTACATTTTTTCGCGGTGAAAAAGTTGTGACAATTAGTCTGAATGCAGGGAATCTGTTTTTATTAGTTCGTTCTGAAAGAACTTTTGCATTTTCAAAGGGGCGTAACATCCCGCGAAACAAAGTTATATTGAGATTTCACGCATTCGATGCAGATCACCAAAACCGGTTCGAAAGAGGAGAAAGGGCATTGGTTGACATTCGAGTTGCTCGCCGATTGATGTTTAGGTTTGATTTGACCAAGCATAAAATTCGATGGCGTCCAATATAATTCTATTAAATATTATGGCGGGTTATGGAAAGAAGGAAATAACTTTTTTGTATCTCGTAGGGTTTGCCTTATTACTTGGACTTCTTGTCAAACCGCAATTCGCTCATGACCATTCAAAAGAGGATAAAAAGTTGTACAAAATGCAATCAAGATTTTCCAGAAACTATGATCTGCAGCGAATACTTTTGAAAGAACGTAACATTATCTTCAAGATACGATTTTGTTCTTCGCTTCAAGAGCCATGATTTGGTCTACTATGAAAATGCACGGAAGCAAAACATTGAAGTCGAGAATGTCTGTTAACTTTCTTGAACGTGTTGTCCCATGATTCTCATGTTGTTGAGCCAGAGCTCGGCACGAGGGGTATATGTCAAATTGGAAGTTGCATTAGTTGGAAAAAGCACAAAGGATTGTGAATACAAGTTTGTGCGCAACCACATATAGGCTACTGCAGGACGAAGGCGCATTACCCTTGAGCGCGAACGCGGCTTTATTAGCTGCAGAGCGCGTGGATCGCAGGGCCTACATGGTGAAGATATGTGCGCGCGTAGTTCGCGCCCGCTCAACTAATAGTGCTTCTGCGCCATCGTCCTGCAGGTAGCCTTTACCTACGCATTCTCCTAATAAGTTCTTACATCATCGGCATGCAAAAAGACGACCTTGTTTATTTTCCAAAATCCAAGTTCCTTTTGCACAACAGAGTAAGTATATCCACCTCGTCTACAGCGCACATACAATGAGATGACATTAAATTTATATATGAACGGATAAGGTCTAGGAGGGGCTTAATGTAGAGAACTGTGGATAAATTATGTGGCTGAAGGTTGTGGCAAGCTCTCTAAAAACTTTTTACTAATGAAAAGTGTGAAAATGACTTGTTTGCACTACACAGATATTGAGTGTGTATATGCGTAATGGACAGTGAAAACAATTTCAGACTCTAAAGTATGGAATTATATGAAAAATTTATGTGAATGAAGAGTTTGCCCAACATTTCTTTCAACTAAAGTTGTAATTGCCCCTAATGCCCAGAGTAGCAAAACTTTCAGTACACATGATTTTTTGGGGTTTTCATAATTTGTTCTGCTCCCTAAAGCGTTAAGTAGCAAAATTTTAATCTCAAAACTCCTCCTCTCATCTTTGTCGGAATCCGGAATAGTAGCGATGCCGATCCTCGTAAGGAGGAAGCGCGTTCCAACTAAACATCCCACTCACGACGTATTCAAAGCATACAACCATCTACTTCGATTCAGATCGCTTTCGGTCATGCTTCTAGCCGTAGAGTACGGCAAGCTCCCCGAACTTTACACGTCCGTTTGCAGCATATGATCAGCTCCTCTCCAACCTGCACTCAACTGCTCCTCTGCTCCTCTCTTTCACGGTTGCAGCTAATCCTTGTACCATTTTGAGTTTAGCTTGGTAATTATACTCAAGACTGCTAAAATGGCGAAGAATGTGGAAGATAGAGCAATCGTATAGCTTACGATCCAGGGGATTGCGACCAGATGAGAACGTCATCCTCGTGTTACTAGATTTTAACAGCTCAGTCTTGAATTTTGCATAGGTTTCACTCACTTATATTGATTAGCTCTGAATTTTAAGTTTTATGCACGAACGAATCTGTTTGATTGAGCTTCCACAAACTAACAATGGTATTTACGTCTAAGTAATATCTGCGAGTTTACTATCCCTTTTTCAAAAAATCTGCTTCATTTTTCTTAGAAATATTCAAAGGTATGCAAAAATGAATCTGGTAAAGAAAATGCATAAGAAAACTTTGTCGGGGGATCCTATTATCTGCTACGCTCACAAACAATGATCGATCATTTTTCATTGTGAACAGTTTAGTACAGTACTATGCTAGCTTACGCGAATCAGTTCACTCATGTCCAAATTGTTCCTAAGCTTCATAGTTCTTGCTATGTTACCAAACATTGTCTCTCATTTGCTGAAGCAGCTATGTTGTGTGAGAGCCAGTGCTTACTAGCAGACAAAGTCAGCCCGAATAACTCGGTTTCCTAGAAAGGTAATTTTTCTGTTGTTCCACTTGTACAATCAAAATATGACATATCAGGGAAAGGTTTGGTTAACTCACAGAGATCAGCCGAGATCACCTTGAACTCGCTCTCGGCTAGCGCATAGTTGATATGATAGTACATGTAACAGGCAATGCAAATAATGAAAATATTAGTCTGCTGCATAAGTTTTGTCCGATTTGAATTTTTTGAGTTTAAAATGTCATAACTTCTTTCAAAGTCAACTTTTTCCAAGATCTTACAAGGGAACCGTGCGGACTCGAAGTGGCCTTTTCCAACGAAACTCATATAGGTTTGCAGGTCCTAGCACGCAACTTACAGAACAGCGATCCGTATCTGCCAAGCGGTCCTGTGTGGCAAGATATGAGCGTTGGAATCCCATGAGATCGCGCGTTCTACACAAGTATCGGGGCCGCCACTCAACACGGAGTGGCAGCGCAGCGGCAAGTGGATGGACTCATGATCCATGAGGTCGAGGGTCGAATCCTTTTCTCGGCATCACTTTTGCACTTGTCTCCTTTTGTTTTTAGTGATAAGCTGATCGTCCTAGCATCATCAGAAACAATATTTATTGCAAAAATACGGCTTCTAGAGAACTCAAAAATTAGCCAGTCGTATGTTCACCGAAAAAAATTGCGGTGATCTGCGAAAGAACATTATCACCAGTAAAAGACATTAATACAAGTTAGGGCAACGCAGAGGTTCAGCCTTAATAAGAAGAACAGACTTTCAAATGTTTGACAAAAGCAGCACAATTGCGAAGGTCTCCTAAAAGGTAGTCTCTATCATGTTCTCACCTGAGCTGGTCGTTTCTTACCTTGCCAAGGAGTTTGGATGTTCGGAACCAACTCGTGTACCGAGTAGGAAAGAGAAGAAGATCATAGATGGCTTCATGTCTATTTTGCGTGAAGCGGTACACGAGTGCGTGGAGGTTAACTCAGAAGAAGAAATGGCCATGGATAATGTTGAAATTGACCCTCTTTGCTCTGCGGATGACGATGACAGGGAGCAAGCCAGGGGAAGAGGTTCCATCAGATTTGGAAATGTCGAGGTGTAAGAGGACATGGTGTGTGGCTTGCATTAGATTAACATATTTTTTGATCAAAGTAAGTATCATATAGGTGCAAAAAGCTTTACAATTTTACCGATCCTCGGACCAAGGACAGCGGTCGTTGTCATGTATGAAGAAAATGTTCCGATTCATTTCCAGCCCGTATCACTTGATAAAACTGAGGCAGTACGAGCAGGAAGGTGAGCTGCAATTGTTGAAAAAAATTTAATGACAAAATCAAAAGCTGTATACATCGTCAGGTAGAGTTCGACAGAGTGCTGCAGCTACGTGCTCTAGCAGAGAAATTACGTGAAGTCGTTTTCTCAAAGTTTGAAAAGGGCATAATTTTACACGACTCTGACATACGTCAGCTAGCCATCAAACTGAACAGGGAAGAGTTCTTCATTGAGAACTTCATAGCATGCGAAACCTGGATAGGCAAATTCAAAAGAAGTTGCAGAATTGTCTCTCGAGGAATAACAACTTTTTCGTCGAGAAGAAGATTTTTGGAAGCCCCCGAAATTGCCGCTAGGGCGCAAGCATTTGTGTCGGAGGTGAAAAGAGGTGAAGTGGAAAATTTTTTTGGTAATCTATCATTAAATCATAGAGTGTAATGCAGAGATGGAAGCCTGGCCCCTCGCTTTGGTCTGTAACG